TTGATTTTTGTTCGGGGTACTATCAATCCTTTCCCAACGACTACTATTTTACCGTCTGTAAACACGTAATTACATGTATCAGTTTATAAACCATTTGAGAAAAGTACATGTTCTTTTCACGAATTGATGCAAATGATATGTTATTATTATTGTGCACAATAACACAGTGTTTAATCATTCCTCTGGTCAATACTGTATCATAACTCGAAAACCCATGTCTAGGTTCCTCTTCACTAGATCAGAATCATATGCTCCCTGAGCGAGTAGCGTTGCAAACATGTGAAGAGATTGAGGTATGTGACAGCTGTGAGTTGATGAAAATGTGTAAGCTGTTTATGTTTTCTAGAAGCACAAACATCCAGTGATTAAACCTAAAACAATTGTAAGTAGTTTTAGTGCCGTCATTTTTATCACCATGACTTAGCTTAATGTGTGTTACTATAGAAGTCTAGGGAGAACATTTGGTACTATGTAACCTGTATAGAGTGATACTGACAAAACCATGTCCGAAAATATTGACAAATGTCATATCTGGTAATATTGGCAAAGCTCATGCCGGAAATACTGATAAACCACCCAGACAGTACAACACGTCCAGAGATAAGGGAGGGGTAACACCTCGATTAACAGTGTCCATATTGAGTGGGGCCACCCTTTTCGTTGACACAGTCGAGCAGATAACCCATTAAGGCCGAGAGCCTCATATATAGAGCAAATTAATCAGCTCCTCACAGCGTGTGACGTGTTGATGGGGCAGGTAATTGGCAGTTTCTCTCAGCGAGAGCCACATATAGTCGTCAACAGAAAGCACCTATTATTCAGCGAGAGACGCACATGTGTGTCGTACAAATATTAGATTTTCTTACGAGTGTAATCTTTCTTTAGTGTCAATCAGAAGAAGTATTTGAGGTGTTTTGATAGCAATTGCTAATCACTATCGTAGGCTTATACAGCGTTTGGCAATTGAACACATGTCGGCGAGAAAGGGGATTATAATGTTTTTACAGAGGTAGTCTGGTACTCTTCGTTGGGAATGGATACTAAAATGCTTCTTGTGCACATTGAATGAATTAGATGTGATGGTTTAGAGGTTACTGAAGATCATATTTTCTTCAACTTCCTAATAAATATAGGAAAACCAAGTTCTATGGATAATAAATAGGAAACAATATACAACATTTCAAGGACACACAAAGTATTCAAACACAATAGCATAGTTTGAATTTACTATGTAGGTATTATTACGTTGTCATGTTTCATATAATTAAACATAATGTATAAACACAAACAATTATACATCCAAGCTCGAATAGATTAGACATAACTAAAGTTACTAAGTTAAAGCTTACTGAATTGTAACAAGTTATTTCCATAATATATATTTGATAATGTTACCTAATCGAATATAAAGTGATGAGTCGCGCTTTTGCTTCGAATATATTACATGTCAGTGTTATTACAAGAATGAATCTTTTACTACGTTTGTTACAAAACACAGTAAGTTGGCAATTCAAAAATTTCTTAGACATAGACAGGAGTAATATCATAAGTTATTACATGTAAACCATACAAAGGTATTGCAAGCATTTTTGTTCAAGCTGTTGAAAGTTTCATGTTGATTTGAGTTATCAGTTCTCTATGTTAATTTACATGAGCATTGTGTAAAACATTTGTATTTAATCTCTGTAATTATCAAATCTGGTGTAATTATCACGTGTATCAATGAACTCAGTCTCTATTGATCCATCGTCAATAAAAGCTGGATAGTACATTTATCAGTTACGGTATCGATACACATGCGTATAATCAGATTACAGTAATGAGATAATTGAACACATCTTTCTACCTTGAAATAACAGCCTCCGGTAGAATGCATATGTAGTTACGTCCTTGTTGAAAGGTTCGTCCCGTGACAAGTGTAAAATAAACAGATGCGACATCATTGGACAACCAGCTTTATGGAGTCACGCCCCTCTTTGTAATGTTTACGCGTACATGTACATCTGTAATCTTATGAACCTCGTTTACGTTCAGTATAAATATAGGCACGCCCATCTTCATTAATATTTGGGGGATTCAACTGCAAGTTTATACATTATAATAATTCAGTGTCGTGTCACTTTTTGATTTCAATAATACGTGTACTTTAATTTGGATATTCATTCGTATCAAGGTGAAGATTATATTTACATGTACAGCAAACCATTATGTTTTATGTACTAGCTGTGTGCGTAAAATGTATATGAAAATAAATGCTATCTCTACTCAATGGTTGGATTTCAATCACTTTGTTTTACTTATCGAAAAACACTAAAATGTGTTTTCGATCTCTGAAATCTATCTACTCCTATTTGTTTTATGTGTATATTTCATAGGTCCTTACGATTATGTATGTTTACAATACACAAACTGTTACATGATAGCATGAGTTGATAAAGACGAAACCCAGCATATTGACTGGTCAACGGTATAGCCAATAATTAATTTCTATCCAGCTGTTGAGTGACCAAACGCGGTCTTCAGAAATTTCGCCCACGCCCCATCACCTGTCCCTTCCTCTGTGACAGGTATCTCATGATACGATTGGTCATAGACAACAAATGATCAGCCACTATAATGAACAATTGAGATACCGCACGTTCTCTTGGGAAATTTGATGATGCCCTATCATTGTTTTATGTCTATACAAGGAATCTGTATTATACAATGTTTATTTGTATGTTCGTATGATAACGTGTGTTTTTGTATTAAATCTAGATTAAACAAAGTTATGAATGTCCTTCAGACGAGCGTTATAGTACTTTCCTTGAAATATTCAGTATACACTAGAAATGAATAGGCAAAAACGCTAATATTGTAGAAGATTATTAAGCATGTATGTAAATTACAGTTATGTCATTGTCATAGATGTTTTGTAAAATTAAACCTCACACAATGATATGAGAGAAAGAATTTGTTTATGTATGTCTCATCTCTTACATACAAAGAATACATACATATGTTGATAAAATACAAATGTACAAGCCGCCAAAGGTCTACACAAGAAACTTGCAATACAATCACATGAAACTTGCAATAATATGTATCACACTGCTTTCTTTTAACTTGTAAACGTTGCAAAAACAATCAGCAAGCTTGTTTGTACGACGAGACAGTTTCCTGTCATCCACGTAACCTGCCAGGGAAATCGGGTGTCATTAGCACTAATTAGTCTCGCAACAGCGAGGAGGGCAATCAGCGAAGGGTTCCAGGTGTTGAGTAGTGAAGTGTCTTTCGGGCTTAATGAGATTTAACGAATATTTACTAAAAGAAGCAATATTTAATTTCAATTTTTGTTCTTTGCTTAATTAAGCATGTTGCTTTCTTTGGTAGTATAAATTGACTTTGTACAAAACTTGCCTGATAGGATCAGTGGGTGTCTTCAGTTGACTCTTCCTGTCATTTTCGACATACCCCCACTTGAACATGAATCTCCACGAAAATACTCCTAAGCGGTTGGTTGTATTCATGATACCCGTATAAAAGGTTTCGTGACCAATCTGGTCTACCATTGGAAAAGGCACAATTTTGGGATTCTGTCGAATGCGATCAAGTAGTGGTTCTAACCAACCTAAAATAGAGATATAGACACCTAGGTTCAAGATAGCAGGGTTCCGCTATACAACGCTGATTCTGCAAACATAAGTATCATTTAAGAAACACACAAGAATATATATAAAAATAATTTGAATAAGAACAAAAGAAGATTTTTCGCTTGATATGATGGATTTGCTAATGTATGCATTTTTAAAACAAAAACTATTCGTATTTATGATGCTATTCCTTACCTTCATTCAATTTGAACACTTTTATTAATACAAGGTGGCACTGTATTATTGCCAATTATTATTACCATTATTGGTACTCATATCTATGTATGCCCACAGATACATCAGATATTTGTAGATCTGATCCATGATGTATGATTTCGAGCTTAATTTACATTCTGAAACTGGAGTATTGCAGTAATCTTACATCGAAGGAATTGACTATGACTCGTGTAGGATCTTGGAAAACGTGAATGTAATCGTTTGAAATCGATTACCGGTGAGGTCTTCGTTTGTGCACCCCGATGTTTTTAATGCCTTTTGAACTAAATATGTTTCACCTAGTTTCCATTTTAAGTTAAACTGGTATATGCAACTCGGATGGGGGTGGTTCTTTTGTTCAGGTCAATGCATTCTCTGTTCAGAGGTACGTCCTTGGCATATTTTAAACATTTCAATGTGACTGGAATGTTTCTAGGATTGTCAACAATTTGTCTGTGCTCACAGCTCTTCTCAGTGGTATCAAGGTTTAACATTGTGGTTCATCCTTCAGAGCGCTGAAACGGCGGGATTTAACGGACATACATCCCTAGACACGTGAAACCGTATTAACTATGTCACAGCTAACATATCAATACATTGCCATACGCTTACCATATTCCATTGTGTTGAACAAATAAATGTCATACTCTAACAAATTATGACACATGTCCTTGTGCCTAACGCATTATTATCCAGCTATTACCCATTTGATCATAGTTCACCTTGTCCAACATATGTCCCACTATTGGATAACATATTTACCTGGGTAACATTCAATATGAGAATCCAGAAACACCAGTGTCGGACCAGCAGCCACTTCAAATCCGGTCAGCCTCGCTCTGATTAGACCCTGATGCTTCCGGTGTCTGACAATCTTCACCTTATCCAATTTTGACATGTACCTTTTCAAAGGTGCCTTTAGATGTAATGTCTGCAATATAAGTGTTTTGATACAGGCGACAAGCATTGTTATCGAAACTGATATGCTACACGTGTTTTAAACACAGGAAAAGTAAAACATTCTGCTATCAAGGGAGAAATGTAAAACAATGAATCACAGACATACCAATATCGTATTTTGCTTTTGTAAGTTGCAAACAGGCGACCAGCATGAAACTTGACATACTGTATCACTATTCGTGTATTCTGTACCTTGTGTGGAGGCATCATCAACGAGAATTATCTCCCTTATGAGATGTTCAGGGGAGCGGTCAAGGACACTGTGGACGGATCTGAGGAGAGTGGACCAAGCCTCGTTATGGAAACAGATGATGATACTAGCTGTAGGGAGATCTGTCGGGTATACACGTGACTTGCATCTGTGAAGTGTAAACGATAGCCAAAAAGTTAATGTCCACTTCATTCCGAGTATTCGACAGCTAACCGTTTAATATACACAACGTCGACGCTAGAGCCAAAGAAAAAATTCCACTGTACGTGAGAAGCAACCTTGCAGTGAAAACGTATCAATGAGTTTGGTCCAAACTCAGTGGATAATAACACATATATGTTGTTTACAGCTGTGTTCAAATACATTTGCGAGATTGCTTATTTCTGCTAAACTCATAGTCACTCACAGATATCACTAGCACAACTCCATTACAACTTTGGTTTTGTTCATTATTATATTCAATACAGTGAACTAAAAGGTATGGGTTTTACTTCAATTATATTCACAAACGTTATTGTCCAACCACGTTAACATGATAGGTTTGTAGGCTTAGAAGGTTATGCTGACTTGAGCGTTATCACCTTCAATTATTCAGGCTCGCTGACTTGATTGACGTTAACATGATATGGTGTGAGGCTCGCTGACTGACGTTCATTAGGGTTTCGCTGACGTTGACGTTAACAGGATGTGGATGGATTGACATGTTAACATGATAAGGTACGTGAGGCTCTCGCTGACTTGATTGACACATGTCATCGTATTCACATTGTGTAGATCGATGTTCATTGTGTTGATCACTGGATTGTCTTGTCCAGACCTGACTATTTAAAGACTGCCATATACTTGGCATATTGCTGAGTGCGGCGTAAAACTAAAATCACTCACTCTCTCCTTTCATTCCTTCACCTACAATGAATATTGTCAAATATATACCTGGAGAAATACCTGAAGGCGAGGAGTTATGGCCGTCAACTTATTTAGTTTGGGTAACATGACGTTTCATACTTTTTCATGCGGTGAAGGATACCAAAATAAAGAGGTTTACATCCAAATATTCTCCCATTTATGCGTACCACTTCTAAATGCCGTTCCTCAATGATGTTATTTCAGAAAAAAACAACTTAACAATTTTACAACCCCCTCCTCGTTATGCCTGCGTATTTGGTGAATGCATTCATTATGATTTGAAGTAAATATCATGGCAAGCATCTCTTTTTGCATCAAAACACTTTTTTACTTTAAAGAGTGACATGGATGTTTGTAAATGTTTATTTGTTTTCTAAAGTAACTGATTGGGTTATTTTGTTTCTGAATAACATAATATTGAAACCTCTTGCTGAAATGTGTGCCCCGGCAAAAATTAAACATCCATGTCTAACAAAACCTAGACATTAGTGACAGAGTGCACTTACATTTGACCCGTGAAGATCCGGGGTAGAAAAGGTCTTCAGCAACCCATGCTTGGCACAAAAGGCGACTAACGGGATCGGGTGGTCAGGCTCGCTGACTTGGTTTACACATGTCATTGGGTTCCCAATTGCGCAGATCGATGCTCATGCTGTTGATCACTGGATTGTCTGATCCAGACTCGATTATTTACAGACGCCGCCATATAGCTGGACTATTGCTGAGTGCGGCGTAAAACTTAACTCACTCACTCACTCACTCACTTACATTTTGGATCGCAAAATATTATCAGTCAATATTCATTTCGACAAATTGTGAAGACAAATATACTGAACAGCAAAAGAAATGCAAGTTTCGAAAAAATGAAATCTCATAATGGTAAGTGTTCATGTTTATGAAACGTTCATGGTAAAGTGACGTAATGATCCCAGGTGAGATGATGTCATACAATTTGACGTCCATACGAAACTTTCGCACAAACACACCCACAGTGCAGAAAAACCATAATTTTAGCTCCTGCATCGACGATTCTGGATGGAAAGCATGCATTTCACCCTGAGGCATCCTTTATAAAGGTTTGTGCCAAAACACAGTTCGGTATTGACGCTAGGAGGAGTACACGCCACACAAACGATGCCTAGACTAACGCCTGAGCCTGAGGGGAATGGCCATTGGAAAGTTACACGGAGGTTGCTCTGCAACCGCTGTAGCTAAACAATTGGGCTGTCAACTTACCACCATTACACGACTTGCTCAACGTCATCAGCAAACCGGGGTTGCTGCTTATCGTCCTTGTACCGGATGGTCACGAATGACAACTCCTGCGCAAGATCGATTCATCCGAGTCACTCATCTCAGGAACCGAACTCAAACAGCAACAGTAACAGCAACCTTAGTTTATGGGTCAAGGGCAGCAGTGTCCAGCGATACGATTAGGCGTCGTCTTCGGGCAGCTGAAATCCACTGCCGACGGCCATATGTGGGACCAATTTTGACACGTCAACAACGCCAGCGACGTTTACAGCCCTCACGCAGCAAGAGTGTCGATGGATTATCTGACTCAAAACACCATTAACGTTCTTTACATGGCCGTCTCTTTCCCCGGATATGGCTCCCATTGAAAATTCTGGGACGAAATTAGACAGAGGATTGCTGCAGGTAGACAGTCACTCACGCTGCACAGTTGGGGCAGAGATTGGTGTTTGAGTGGAAACACTTGCCTCGGGCATTCTTTCACACCCTCGTGAATTCAATGAGACGATGTTGCACGGCCTGTGTGCAAGCACAAGGTGGCTACACGTGCTACTAAAGAGACTGTCACTTTTCAAATTCAGGGGTATCTCTATTTGACGGACTGTGATCAATTTGCACTTATTGCAATTCAGTGTCAACATCAACTTTCAGCTGTTAATTTGGCAGTGTTTTCTATAGAATAAATGATTAGACATAATTTTGGTTGTCTTCTATTCAAAAACTTGACAAAAAGCCAGACTTGCGTTTCTTTAGCTGTTCAGTATATAACATTGATGATACAAATAACGATTTGAAAAGTGTCGATATGAACAATGAAACACATTTTGTACGGGCGCTGAATGCTAAAATATCGATGAAAATTATATTAATGAATAGATCACTAGAAATACAAGCCAGCAGTTGAATATACGTAGTATGTTAATATCGTAAGTTCGCTGAGCTCTGCAAGCTGGTACCTCTGTGTAGCATTGTATACAATCAGATGACAATCGCAATAATCTATACGTAATTTTTACACATGAAATGTTGAGATCAAATGAAACTAATATTATAATGAATATGTCAGGTGTGCGAATTCTTGTCTTCAAGCTGGGACGTTCTTAATATTGTGTATTGTATTATAACAGTAATCAGAAATGTAATATATATTTATATCTACAGCGAGTATTGGTAACGTGAACATATATGCGCACCTGATAGAAAAGGTTCGATATAACAAAGGAAATCCAAACAAGTAACGTATTTGATTTACATGACGTGTGTGATAATGTGATTACTTATATAGTCAGGAAGATAACATGGATACAAGCAGGGATTTTCAATAAGTTTCGTTTTGATTTTGTTCATATACATACTCCTCAAGCCTTGTGTCTGGCAGACGCCGATGCACAGAGATCCGGTCGCTCACCAGTTGATTGAAGCCATTTCTCTTCTTTCCCTCTCTGTATTCCCCCTCCTCCTGCTTCGTGTGCTTGTAGATGTACGCAGCTCCCCATTCCCCTAGGGAGACAGTTGTCTACAGTGATGATCCAAGTATTCAGTCACACATAAACAAACAGATGAAACTTCAATGTGTAGTTGTTGCTGCAGTAGGCGTAGATTTTCAGTTGAAGTTTCTAAGGTATAGACCTATATAATGATTACATTACATCATTTTATGATGGGTAGAAGCATAAGAACATTATCCACAACACATTTATTGTCCATATAGTGTAATATCGCAGTGTGAAGGGTTTTTAAAAGCCAACTTAAGATTTAAAATGCTGTAACATTCATCTACTACTGTCGAGTCTCATGGCTGTTTTAGAAACGTCGAAGAAAGGGCAAGCTCGATAGTATGTCTTTTACCAAAACAGTTTTGTAATGTGGACACCAACATCCATCTGTTGGAATATGACAGTTGCCATAGAGGAACCGTAAACCATTAGGGAAAATGTTCAAAATACAATGCTAGCCTTATTCACAACTGCGTGTAGTAGAGAGCACACAAAAGAATGGCTGATGACTTAACACAAAGGGTGTAAAGAAACGTCCTCATTTGGTGAGCCGAACCCATCTCCTCGGCAAGACGAGCCAAAGCACCACCTCACAACCAAAAGCGAGACAGGTCTTACCTGGACCATCTTCCGGACTGTACTCCACAAATGGCGGATATGTCACATTACTGTCCTCTCCTCCGTACTCCTCCACGTAATACTCCACACTGTACGTGTTCTGTGTGTGTTGGCCATGTTGCTTCACCGCCTTGCCCGGGAGCACATCCTTCTTGCGTTTTCTCATCGCGTCTGCTACTTTCTTATAACCATCGTCATATTTGTTTGCTTGTTCTAAGCCTTCGCCATTCTGAAAACTCTTTTTAAAATCACCTTGTATGTGGCTTTCGTCCCTTTCAACATATTTCCTGACGCTTTCAACGATGTCACCTTGTGGATTTGATGAATTTTCTTTGTATTGAAGAATGATCTGCATCAAAATCCTTATTGTATAAACGACTAAAATCAACACGGCGGAAACCTTGAGGATGTTAAGTGTTGAACGTCTCATCATTTACAGCTAAGACATTAACGCACACAACACAATTTCCCCACACGTGCCCAATACACAGTGATGTGGCAGTTCCATTCAGAAGCGGGGACATATAATGGACGTATGTTTCGTTAACATTGTCGCGCTCTGCTGAGTCTATAGTCTGCTTAAATTATTGATGTCTTCCAGTACGTCTTTAATGTAAAAAAGTGCTATTATAGCAAATTATTGATGATAGACCACTTCATATTCAGTGAGGTTAGTTAGTTGTGTCAAACGAGTGCCAACGTGTTGTTCGACGGCATATTAGAGGACTGTCACAAACATTCATATGTCACCGAATATCAGACGAGAGTCACAAAAGTCAACCTGTCACCGATTGATAGCATGTCATCAACTGACTGTACCGATCCGATATGACGAGAGTCAAAAACATGTCATCAAGACTGTCACCGGATATAGACCACATGGTATCTGATATATTCAATATTTGTTCGATCTGATATCAGACGAGAGTCACAAACATGTTATCAACTGACTGTCACCGATCTGATATCAGACGAGAGTCACAAACATGTCATCAACTGACTGTCACAGATCTGATATCAGACGAGAGTCACAAACATGTCATCAACTGACTGTCACCGATCTGATATCAGACGAGAGTCACAAACATGTTATCAACTGACTGTCGATCTGATATCAGACGAGAGTCACAAACATGTCATCAATCAATCTGATATCAGACGAGAGTCACAAACATGTCATCAACTGACTGTCACCGATCTGATATCAGACGAGAGTCACAAACATGTCATCAACTGACTGTCACCGATCTGATATCAGACGAGAGTCACAAACATGTCATCAACTGACTGTCACCGATCTGATATCAGACGAGAGTCACAAACATGTTATCAACTGACGTTTAGCAACCGAACTGGAGTGTAACGTTGAACGGGATTTTGGCGCGATTTTCCTTCATTCCGACCGCACAGTGTACACATGTGCAGATATCACTTTTGCCTAGGAACCGTTGTTTCTGTATTTCGTCGTTTGTTACGTCATTAAACACTGGAACATGATGTCAATGAAAAGGGCCCTGAGTCTTGCTTGTCGTGTTGTACTGCACAAATGTACATGAATAAAATAGATAATAAAGAAATTATTACATTCGAGCAAGTGTGTCATATGACTTATACGAAACTTGTGCAAAATAATGTATACACAATTTCACACTTATTTCGTATCAGTCGTATGGTGCACTTGCTCGAGTGTAATAATTGCTTTATTATCCATTTTATTCATGTATCCATTTTGCTAGTGTTATCTCTATGTATGCCTCAGATGGGCAGGGTCTGAAATGTTGCAAAAATGCACACTTTTACATCAGTGTCCTCATCCGTCCTGCATCCTGGCAGATATGTTATGTCGTATATACCAGGGGTTAGCGACACCAAGCAACATTAATGACAACTAAATAAGTTCCATGTGTACACATGCCAGTTGGGCTGATTTGGGTGGAGGAATCCTTTGGGCGAAGCATGTGAGTGAAGATTATGACTTTAAACTGGTTTGTCCTATGCATGGATATCCAAATAACTGGGAATGAGTTACTTTTCATGGACAGAATACATGGCAGATGCATTGACATCCTGATCCAAACCTGGTATAACAAAATATCATCTCTGGCATTTTGGATCTTACAAATCATTACATGTACCAAAATTAAACATTCTGTGTAATTTCGAGAACGAAATTATATGATGATTCCAGCCAATTTCCGACGTTTAACACGTGATTTAAAAATGCTTCGGAACCATTTTGGAAAGTGTATCATCTAAAATGCTTTACCTGTGATAAAGGTAATTAGAAGGAGACAGCGGATATGACTTTGCATAGGTGTGCTCTCATTGTAAGTTAAGCCGAGAGAACCTGTAGTCTATACATTGTTATCAATATCCATTAAGACAGAAACTTGTAGATCTTATGTCTTAAGCTGGTTCAGACATTGGCAAACGTGCTTTACACATCAGGATTATATAATCTTGTATTCGTATACACACATTGACAGAACTCGCCCAGATGAACACTACCAAGCCGGCTGTCGCACACTGCGTTGTTCCAACAGAGTTTCGAGGTCACCAGCTGTGATCAGTACAGTGTGGGTTTAATGATGGAATTCTTTAGCTTGCCCGATGGTGTGCGAGAAGCAGGTACAGAAGTGCCCACCATGTTATTGATTCATTAGCCTGTGCTGTGCCGTCTCCATCCTTTCTCGCACACCTGGCTGACCCTTTCTCTGCACTCCTCCCTCGTAACAAATAGTGAACTGTGTCAAAAGTTTAATGATAGTTTCTTAAAGAACTTTTTGGTGGATTCCGGAAAACTTTCCAATATAAGAAAGCTGTTGGGTATTAGTAAATGATAAACATGTGTACTATTTATATTTATGTGGCAATTTTGTACAATGATAAAATTTGCAATTCATCGGTCCGTTTCTGACTCAAACGGACTGTAGTATCGTATCATTTTTACATAATGTTATCAATAAACTGATCAACATGTATTTATGATATTGATTATCTGCTTGATTGTATGGTATGTGGAAAGGCTAGCCCAACGCGTTAATGTGCGATTTGCTGTGTGTTCTTTTATTTTGCATTATGTTCTCCAATTATCTATGGGGTGGTGGAATCAGAGAGAAGGGGGATTTCTGTTCAAGGCGTCACTGCTTTGATACGTCTCCAGACCTCCAGATAAAGTGCATCGTTGATACGAAAACTACATATTTGAAAACAAGCATACCTCAATTAACTTCGGGTTACTTGCGCAGAAATACGCATTGGATAACAAAAAATATAGCAACACCGTGCGTAAGTACTTTTACTGATGTAGCTTTTAGCAGGTTTCGAACATAGGTTTGTTTAGAGATCTTTTGTAATTTATCTTTAACCTTGCTTCACAACGTTTCCAGAATCTGTAACGAAACGTCGTACTCACACAATAAAAGAAGTTGTTATACATACAGCTTGTCAATATTGTATATTCAAATGTGAATGACCACCGTTTCTCCCCCACAAGTGTGTCTTAACAACTGACTACTGGTTAAAGGAAAGTGATTAACCAGGTGACCTAATGGAAACCGTTCTCTTGCAAAAAAATGTTTTGCTTAGCCAAATCCTCATCGGAAGAAGCTTAATGAGGTTATGTGAGCCTTTATGTCAAAAAGGCTACAGCATTTGTGAAAATAGCACAAGGTGAACCCATTATTTCACATGGTGGTAAATTATGTGATCATTTTGTTGTAGTATTGGTAATATGAAGATATAAAAAGTACTAAGTACATACCTTGGATGTGCGGCATGATGCGTAATGTCCGTTATACAACACCTATTACAATTTATTGGACTGAATTGGAAATACTGTATTAAAAAGTATTTCCCGATATATCAATTTTTCAACTTGAATTTTAAATGTTTGGAAATCCGGTTATAGCATACATGAAAAAGGAGCTTGAGCATTCGGCAATATACGATGAACATAATAATATGTTTCAGGGCAGCTTCGTATCAGATAAGTTAGGAAATAACGGGAAACATCTGCAAGTCCGGTCATAGCAAGACTTTTCCTACTGTATTTACGCATATTTCAATGTTGTCTCTTCCAGGATTTTGGCCACGTGGTAATGGTAGTCATTACTGAGTCTGAACAAAGGTGATGTACAAATCAGGTCAGTCATCTCTGCAACATATTTATGACTGCAACCTCAACATAGGAAATATCAAAATTTGACTTGCACCATACCTTCCTGATTGTGTTCGAGGTGAAGAACAGACTAGACTTTGCACGTCTGTGACGGGTGTCATCGATGGGGCAGGATACGCTCATGTTTTCGCGAACACCTAGTGTTATCACTATTTGATAGTGATTCCTAATCGCATGCTCATGACACAGTACAATCGGCCTTGCTTTTAGCTCATAACCCTTGTGGACGTGGTAGAATTATTCAGAGGTAGAATGTTAGCACAGGCTATCAAGAATCGACGCAAAAGTTTGTGGTTTATGGAAGTCACGGAATATTTTCCAATAAAATGATCCTGCAATTTGCTTTTCCTCGTCCGTATTGTTACCTTGATGATAGTTGTATGCCACACGTCTAGGTTCATAATAATCCTGACACTATATCCATCTTGGGATTCAATTTATAAATTTCAATATGGTTATTTTGTTTAGTATAGTTTGGACAATATTCCCACATTTTCAGAAGACAGATTATTTTGGGCTTTACACAAAATATGTATTCACATTAGTTTTTAGACGAGCGCAAACCAAAACAGTTACACACGATGGCTACAAGCTTAAGGTTGAGATTTATCATGAACATGTAGTCACGTGCACAAAACTGGTTCCAATATTGATTTACGTATATCTTAGGTTGACGCGGATGATTCGATATAAGTGTAAGTTTAAAGTAATAAGAATATCAATATTACAAAAATACCGTTTATTACACATACATTCATATACATGCATATTTACCAACATTATGTACCAGGAAGATGAAACTGAGATTTTGAAAAATTCCATCTCTGAGTTGCGTTCCCTTCACACTTCATCATTATGAGCGTCGAATCTTCAGCAACTGTTAAACACGTGTCTGAAGTTCGCAGATAGAGAGTCTTGGCCTAAATGTAGAAACAAAAGAAAGAAAGTGAGCATCATTTTCTATGAAGAATGCATGAGTGAGTTTCCGGTCTGCAAAACCAATATGAGTCACAATACTGGAGTCAAATATTTATATGTTCACTGAGATGTGATGTGATGAAAGTGAGTGACTGAGTTTAGTTTTACGTCGCTTAGCAATATTCCCGCAATATCACTGCGGTGGATACCATCTGGTAAATCGAACCAGAGATGCTAACATGTCTTAGCATCAGGGAAATGTCGTTCAGAGAGACTGTGAGCCAATCTCACTGTGAACAAAAATGATTTAGGTTATAATGTCTGCATTGCCAAAAATAACAACACAACTTGTTCTCAGTGTCTCACTTGTAGACATTTAGAGTTGACAGCTTATATTCCGTTTTAACTTATGAAAGTACCTATACCGTTTTAACTTTTGACATGTACCTAGCC